ATTTAAAACTTTTGACAGAGTTTTAATAATTGACTAATTTTAAACCGTCAATAAAACAACAGCATAAAACGGGTATAGGATCAAATGAATCAAAACCAAACTCTGCAAATATTATTGAGTTAGTCTCTACGTAAATTTCATTTAACAGAATAATGAGAATGAAAGAAAGTAAACCCCACAATTAAATATGACCGAGAAGAATTAATTTTGTCAATTTGAAGAACAAAACATTGACTGAAAAGTGGCATATCAACTTGGAGGTTTATTTGTGCTTAAGGCTAGACCTATGAAGTCATGACTTAGGAGAAGCTATCATCAAAAACAGTAATTGTGGAATAGAAAAGAGAATAGATATACACACCCGGCTAGAACTTTGGCTCTCAGTGTCAAACAAAATAGATTGGGGGCCTTGAGATGAGGCCCAATGCCCACTGAAATGATAGCATTACCTTGACATCAGAATTGTTTAATAAATAAACATTGGGTGATTAAAAAAAAGTATTGAAGTATAAGGAATGTAGAATACAAAGATAAAAAATGGTTACATACACCTAGAAACCCCCAAATAACAATTTCAAGGTGTATTTAAACTCAAAAGGTTTAAATTGACACATAATATAAACAAAGTAATCCACCAATAATCATTATCTCTTTCCTCTTGCTCTCCGTGAGCGGATTCGAGTACCAGTTTAAATTTTTATCGTCCATTAACTTATTTAGAACAATTTCCAACCCAATAAGAGCAAGGCATATATAAAATTTTCAGATATACAAAAATAATGCACATCTATTTTCCTTCACTAAAAAATTCAAATATGCTTACTCTTTTTGTGCATAATGCTATTAGATTCTTTAATTTTTACCTATTAGTAATTAGCTCCCAAATAAATGGTATAAGTCCTACTATGCTGATGAAAAAAAATGAGGATGGTAACAGGTCATTATAGTTAACAACCTCAAGCCATTTCTTTTTAAGCTCTTCATTTTCAAACAAAAGTAGCTAAAATAGAAGTGGCATTTTATTCACGGTTTTAAGCCTTTCTAGCAAACAATGTCACACGACTCAAGTTGTTTCTAAAGTCAGGTTGAGCACGTTCAAATATCTTCAAAGAACTTTGAACATGAAACAGCACTAACCTAAGGTTGTACGAGCCTCAAAGCCGAACTCAAATTCATCTACGTTTAGCATGGTTTAAAATCAACTTTGGTATAGATTTATTTTAAGTCAAGCTTGCTCGAAATAAAAATTAATTCATTTCAAAATCAATTGGAGCAGACTTGAAGTTAAAAATGAAGTGTTCAGAGGAGAATCCAAACCTAAGAATCTATGTGATGCGGACATCGGCACGAAGATCTGGCGCATCTATCACAGGAGGCGTCGTAAATCGACGGCTCTAATTTAAGTTGTCATTTATGAATTATTTTCTGCATTTTAGTTTCTATTTTATGTTATTTCTTATTTTACCCCTATGTTAATTTATTTGAGTGTTGTGACCCAAGGGGCAATTTTTTAATTTTTTTTTTATTTTCTCATGTTGTGGCCTATATATATGGCTTTTAGCTATTGTAATAGGATGGTTAGTTTGATATGAAAAATTTTGTGTTCCATACTTTGTTCTTGAGAGAGAATGAGAGTGAGATTTCTATGAGAGAAATCGAGAGTTTCACCAGCCGCAGGATGGGTCCGGGCTCGTGATGTGAAGTCCCTTGGAGAAGGGCAAATGAATCACCCACCAACCTTGGAGACGGCCGGGTTCGTGGTTTTCTCTTTGTATTTTCGTCTTCATCCACCACCCTCTTCTTTGCATCTTTCGTTTTATCTTATATCGTGTTTTGTTTTGTCATCTTTTCGTCCTCCCTCAACTTCACGATCCAAGCTCCATACCGAGCCCTCATGCCGCCGGCCCAATCTTTAGCCGTCGGCCACCATCCACCACCTCATCCCCATTGAACTCCTTTCCTAATTTGGGGTGCATGATATTAGGGCTTAATTTGAAATTCAAATTGTTTAAAATTTGAAATTCAAATTTCTTTCCTAGTTTAGTCCACCTATTTTGGAAAGTGTTTAATTCCATTCAATGGAAATTTAAATTCAAAATCCGATTTATTGACTCCCTTTCATAATTCCTAAATTCAAATCTATGAGCCTTTAAATCACCAAATTCCCTCTCATATTTCTGAAATTAATTTCCTAATCTAGGAATTTGATTTGGGAAATAAATTTCCCTCAAATCTGGGAATTTTTGTTTGACCGAAATTTCCAAGCCTTTATTCATTTTCCAAATCCTGCTGTTGAGAATTAGGAATTAATTCCATAATTTTCTCTTCCTTTCCGTAACTCCCACTCATGGCTGAATTCCTCTAAAACTTTAATTCCTAATTTAATTCCTAAACCAATTAAGGGAATTAGGAATTAAACTCCACCTCACCTCCACCTTGGCAGTAATTAACTTTTATTTCATTTTCTCCCCACTGTGCTCATAGCCGAAATTTTCAACTCTTCTCCTATTCTATTTCCCAAATTAATTTACTGGTTTTGGAAATAGAAATTCATTCAGAATTTGCTTGGAAATAATTTCTCTGATTTTTCTCTGCATCCCGCCGTTCCCCCTCCTCACTGGATCTTACCAAAATCTGTCCAGAATTTTTATTTCTCTTTGGGAAGAATTGGGACCTGAACATTCTGCTGTGGGAATTTACATTCCTCTGCTAGCCGAAATCTTTCAAAGGCCATCACGTGGAAATTCCTCCACTAGAACCTCTCCAAATTCATACAATATCAAGCCCTCTTCCTCCCAAAGCTGCAACAAATTTCTGAAAGAAATCTGAATATATTTTAGATTTCTAGAAGGAATTACCTCAGGTATTCGGGAGGGCGCTTGGAGTTCGTTGTTGCCACAACTTCCCCACCCTCCCGTTCTACATCAGTTTGGTATCAGAGCATGGACTCGGATCAACTTGGACGGACTTTAAATTGGTTGGTATGTCAACTGGGCGCCGTTAGTCAACAACTCAAGGAGGATCAAGCGGACTTAGCCGACCTCCACCGTCAAACAATCGAACGATTCGATCACCTAGAGCGAGGCAGGACTAACTCACCGTTTTATGCAAAAACCCCGTCATCAAAGGATCGAAAGAAGGCACTAAGAGACAGAGAGAGAGTAGAGAGAGTGGACAAATGGATGGAGGCCAATGAAGCTTTCAATTTTCCAATCACTATACAAATCAAAGAGAAACTTAAGGTGATCAACGAAGAACATAAAGAAGAAGATGGATTGGTTGACAAGGAGAAATGCGCAGAGAAAGACTTGGTTGCTTCAATTACAACTCCTACAGAAGTAAAGGTTTCTCCTAACCTAGTTCACACTCCTATAACAGAGAAGGTTGACGAAGCTCTGGAAGTGACAGCCATAGAATTCAAAATTGTTCCTATTGCTAGAGAAGCCATCTCTGAGAGTGAACAAGTTCCTGCAGGCGAGCTAAAGTGCAGTAATCAATTTGACTTTGTGGGCAGCCGAGGTTGTTTGAAAATCTTTGCAAATAATAGTCCAGAGTTGTACAGGAGCAGTTATGATGCTAACTCGACGGAGTCGTGTATTCTCCCACCTGGGGAGAATGATGCGGACATCGGCACGAAGATCTGGCGCATATATCACAGGAGGCGTCGTAAATCGACGGCTCTAATTTAAGTTGTCATTTATGAATTATTTTCTGCATTTTAGTTTCTATTTTATGTTATTTTCTATTTTACCCCTAGATTAATTTATTTGAGTGTTGTGACCCAAGGGGCAATTTTGTAATTTTTTTTATTTTCTCATGTTGTGGCCTATATATATGGCCTTTAGCTATTGTAATAGGATGGTTAGTTTGATATGAAAAATTGTGTGTTCCATACTTTGTTCTTGAGAGAGAATGAGAGTGAGATTTCTATGAGAGAAATCGAGAGTTTCACCAGCCGCAGGATGGGTCCGGGCTCGTGATGTGAAGTCCCTTGGAGAAGGGCAAACGAATCACCCACAAACCTAGGAGACGGCCGGGTTCGTGGTTTTCTCTTTGTATTTTCGTCTTCATCCACCACCCTCCTCTTTACATCTTTCGTTTTATCTTATATCGTGTTTTGTTTTGTCATCTTTTCGTCCTCCCTCAACTTCACGATCCAAGCTCCATACCGAGCCCTCATGCCGCCGGCCCAATCTTTAGCCACCGGCCACCATCCACCACCTCATCCCCATTGAACTCCTTTCCTAATTTAGGGTGCATGATATTAGGGCTTAATTTGAAATTCAAATTGTTTAAAATTTGAAATTCAAATTTCTTTCCTAATTTAGTCCACCTATTTTGGAAAGTGTTTAATTCCATTCAATGGAAATTTAAATTCAAAATCCGATTTATTGGCTCCCTTTTATAACTCCTAAATTCAAATCTATGAGCTTTTAAATCACCAAATTCCCTCTCATATTTCTGAAATTAATTTCCTAATCTAGGAATTTGATTTGGGAAATAAATTTCCCTCAAATCTGGGAATTTTTGTATGACCGAAATTTCCAAGCCTTTATTCATTTTCCAAATCCTGCTGTTGGGAATTAGGAATTAATTCCATAATTTTCTCTTCCTTCCCGTAACTCCCACTCATGGCTGAATTCCTCTAAAACTTTAATTCCTAATTTAATTCCTAAACCAATTAAGGGAATTAGGAATTAAACTCCACCTCACCTCCACCTTGGCAGTAATTAACTTTTATTTCCTTTTCTCCCCACTGTGCTCATAGCCGAAATTTTCAACTCTTTTCCTATTCTATTTCCCAAATTAATTTACTGGTTTTGGAAATAGAAATTCATTCAGAATTTGCTTGGAAATAATTTCTCTGATTTTTCTCTACATCCCGCTGTTCCCCCTCCTCACTGGATCTTAGCAAAATCTGTCCATAATTTTTATTTCTCTTTGGGAAGAATTGGGACCTGAACATTCTGCTGTGGGAATTTACATTCCTCTGCTAGCCGAAATCTTCCAAAGGCCATCACGTGGAAATTCCTCCACTAGAACCTCTCCAAATTCATACAATATCAAGCCCTCTTCCTCCCAAAGCTGCAGCAAATTTCTGAAAGAAATCTGAATATATTTCAGATTTCTAGAAGGAATTACCTCAGGTATTCGGGAGGGCGCTTGGAGTTCATTCTTGCCACAACTTCCCCACCCTCCCGTTCTACATCACTATGCATGCAAGAAAGGCATCTAACCAATGGACCAATTAACTTCTAATTTTCATAGCAAACAAATAAATGTCTAAAAAATTTCAAGCCGAACTGAATAATATTTTGATTGATCCACTTCGACTATAAATTGACTAAAAGGTTAGTTTCCTTGCATGAAGCTCGATTCAAATCGAATTAGAATAATTCAAAATCCAACCAAGTTTTAATTTAGGGTATTCTTAAAAAATTATATTCCAGCCCACCATCAATGAGCAATGAATTCACTAGATGGATAAATGATAAAAGGAGACGGGCATAAACAAATTTTTGTATATATTAAAGCTCCATAATGATAATCAAGGACAACAAAACTTTATACAGTACAAACCAGATGCTGGACAAGCTTCAATAAATATGACCATATATAATATGACAAATCTAGTACTCTTCTAAAACCTTAAAGATAAGCAAACATCAAGTTCAAATCAAGGCCCTTTCCAATAAAATTATCTTATTGTATACTTGACAAATAAAAGCAAAAGGAGCATAAAACGTGCCCACACCCTTTACTAAGTGCAAATAACAAAATTTGCTTCTCTACCATACTTGAGGTATTTAGGTTATCGATGAAAAAAATACTAAATATCTTGAAGGAAGAGTCGCCCTTAGAAGTCAACCTCTTAAATAAACCAAACCATGAGGCATTAGGTAAGCTAGTTGTTGTTCCATGATCGGTTTAAGATGCACCTTCTCGACAAAAAAAATATTTACAAAAGGCAATCTTGGTCTTAAAGTTTGCTAGCGTTATTACCTTGATAGAAATCCAAGGATCACACATCCTTGATTATTATCCTGAGGTTAATCCTAAAGAACCCCAAGCATGTTAGAACCTAATTATAGAGAGGAATTAGATGAGAGTATTCAAGATCGATATGCACCGCAATGAAATTATAATAGAATAATCAAAATAATTAATGAATTTAAAAAAAAAAAAAGGTTCAGGTTAATCATAATTTAAATGTCCTTTTGGAATGGTTCTCCGTGATGCAAAAGACTCACAATAATATTTGAAAAATTAAACTCTGGATAAATTTTGTATATGTGAATTGAGTGGAGACTTCATTGAAATTTAGAATCAAGAAGAACAATAAGAAGAAATGAGTGAAAATAATAGGAAAAATCAAGGTAACTTGCCTAAATTTTCTCCAATAAATTCTTCTTATCCTGCTTGGTCGATCACCTTTTAAGGAGAGTTGGCTATTTTAATGAGGTTTTTCCTATCTTCTAGTAACATTTGAATTTGAATTAATCTCCAGATGTTTCTTTGATCTCTATAAATAGAGATCTAAGTTTGAAATATAAAATGAAGTTTTGATTGAATGCAATTTTATCTTTAATTTTATGAATTTCCTTTCCTCTTCATTCTTTCTCACCTATGTTTTACCAACTCCTACGCCTTCAAGCACCAAAATTCCCTCTGCTAGTATTTGACCTCCTAAGCCACTGATCATCCAGTAGCTCATCCAACCATCGATGTTCCTAGTTGCTATTCTCATTAGCTGTTTATAAGCCTAGTACAACAAACTGCTTTTAAACAAATGACAAAAATGATCTCATATAAAATGAGTCAATGGCCTATATATTGGCATCAAGTGAGATTGCATAATAAAAGGAGAAAAGAGACAACACTTTCACGGAGTTCATTCAAACAAAATACATTGAGCTACATTTCAATGGTTCAAATCACTGCCACTTTACATAACCTTAGATGACGTAAAAGCTAACAGAGAATTGAGCTAGCTTAACTCACCAAAAATTATAACAACACATTTCTTCCAACTGCATGTTCAGAAGTAACCACACATATTGAAGAATTTAATTGCGACCTATGTTTTATAAAATATTGAATGCGACTTGCATCTATGAGGAAACCAGCCAATTTCCATTTCTCCAACATTTTAAGTTGTTCTAATCTGGGAGTTCATCCATAATCGACTAAATAAATACACTAAATAACTTATAATCAGGCATCATTACAGCTAGGTATAACTTCTACTCTTATAAACCAATTCAAATCATTGCTGCTCTTATGATTCAGATTAACTGTTAGCAGACGAAACAATTAATTATTCAACCATTTCCAAGTGATAATGCAAGAGAAACCAGTAGATGTAGTTAACCAATATTTATTCAGATAATTTGGAAAAGACTTCTAATGTGTGCATGCTTTAGGAAGGGCAATTCTTTACATAGAGTTTTTTGTGTTCATTGTTTTTGTGAAACCACATGCCACGTTCTCAAAATGATGCCCCATATATGACACTCTATGGGCAGGAAAATCACCAAATAACATTAGACTAGATCTTCTAGCCGCAAAGTCTAAGAACCCAAAACATCATGCAATTTATCATAAGATTCCTATTTTTCTTCTAAAATTTATAATTTCATATTCTGGATTAAGTTCCACGCGACTACATTTCCCTTTCCAAGTCACTTACAAACTTCCCATGATAATCTACTGCTTTGTTGAGTCAATAACTGTTAGGCCGGCCCCTCATGGGCCGGCTGGACCGGTCCTTACTTACTCCATGCGGGCCCCACATGGGGTTTAATTCAAGTGTTGGAGGGGGGAAAGCCTTGGGGCCCATGGGAAAGGGGGGATTTAGGTTTTCATCTTGAATTTGGGCTGATTTTTGGGATCTTCTTGGCGGCTTGGGCTCTGATCTTCTTAGCTAGAGATTTTGGAGAGTTCTCTTCCTCTTGAATTGAAGAATCTTGTATGGTTATTGTTTTCTTTCATCTACTAGTGGAGTACAAGTGGTTGGCTTGATTTTCTTCATATTCCTACTCAATTTATTGTTGTTTTTTTCATTGTTTGGGGCTGTTAAACTGTTGTAAACAGCAGTTTTGTTGATGTTTTCTCTCCAATTTGGGATAGTGTTGCTTGTGAACTCAAGTATTACCTTAGGTTACTTGCGAACTCAAGTATTTCCTATCAACAATCCTCTAATTTCGAGTTGGAATTGACATTATTTACAATGGTGCGAACTCCGTACACAGACTTCCAAATCAAGCAAACAGCCAGTGCCGGAGCCACGGTGGGAGCACCGGGGGCATTGGCCCCCCACTAGCCTAATGGAATGTTTTTTTTTTTTTGTACATTTTTTATAATTTTATATTTACAAAAAAAAACTTACAGACGATTCAGTCATTTAGATATTTCGCCATTGAGTCCCGCCCTTCTCCTTCTGTCGTATATGTGTAATGATATAGTCATGTGTGGACAACAATATTATGTTGTTTTTCAATTTATTCCAGTTTAAAATTTCCTTTTGGCTACTTCTGTTGTTCCTCTTTATTTAATAATTTCCTATTTTCTTGAGCAGATATAAGGGAAAAAGTATCCAAAAGATCTAAGTGGTTAAAGTATTCCTTAGAGTTTAAATAGATCTCGGGCTTTCATGCACTTCGAGGTCAATTGAGCAAGTTTCAGTTGCCACAACAGCAGTTGAATAAGCATTCTTCGCTATAAAGATTATAAGGAATCGTTTGTACAATTTTATGAGAAAGTCTTAGATGAATGGTTGTTTGATTACTTTTATTGAAAATATATATTTTTAATTGAATTGATAATAAAGTGATTGTACAACCATTTTAAAATATGAAGATTTGGAGAGAGAAACTAAGAATAATATAAATAGCATATCTCTCAATTGTAAGTTTTTCTTTATTATATAATTTATCTTTTTATGATAACAAGTCTAACAAAAAAGTTTTTAAACTTGTCAATGCCGGTCTCAAATGTAGATGAAAAAGAATGAGGGTTTTTTTAAGATCCATAATTTGTGCCCGCACGAGAAAAAAAATCCTGGCTTCGCCACTGCGAACAACGACAATCCACTCCAATTTTAAACAAGTTGCAGAATCAAACCTGTTACTTGGTGTGCTTAGATAGCTCTGTGTGATTTTACTTTCCCAATTCCTTGGCCTCCGGATGAAATTTCGATATGCAGAATAGCTTCTCGTGTTGCACCGCCAGTCCTTCAATACAATATAATGTTAAAAATAAACTGCATACTACCAAACAAGAATTCAGCATTGTATTATAAATGTAAAGTGGTATGTATGTAAATTTCCCAAATTTTAAACATAATTTTCTTGTCACTATGCCAATTCTTCATTGCAGAATATTCAACAACCCTCAACATATTACTAAACGGGCACATGAGCATCAATTCAAGTGTCAAACTGCCATTCAAATGGCAAATTAACGTACCATGCCCAACTACTATCAAAACGAAGTATATATCATGCAAGAGGTACATCAAAATAGACGCTAGTGTCCATAGCCCTTGGAATGGAAAGTGCCACTGGTAGATATCGGAACTTAACACTGATATGTATTGCATACAGATGTAGATCTCACTTCTTTCTCAACAGCTTATGCTAAAGAAAAACAACTCAAGCCCTAGCCAAGTGAAACCCTAGTTATACCATCAGAAAGAAGGTTACCTTGCGTTGGAGGAGTGAATGGCCTTTGCGATGGAGGAGAACACGACGGATCCCAACGTAGTTGGGATCATGGTGGGACACGGGAGGCTGCAGCAGGCAGCTGATAAACACTGGATCCATTTCCTCTGGCGACGGGCCTTCTTCCTCCTCTGCCTTCAACTCAATCACCGCACCTCCGCCGCCGCTCTCCTCCATTACTGGCTCGCCGTGCTTCTATCACTCCTCGCCCTACCTATGTCTCGTCCTCCAATGAAGGTAGATCGAGAACGGATAAAGATTTTAGCGGAGAAGAAGACCATCCACGGATCCCTTCTCCGATATTCCAATATAAAAATCAGAGTTAGAGGGAGCAGATTCGCACTACAATAAACTGAAAACATTAGAGAATGATGGAGAGCGAAGAGTACGCGTGAAAAGAAGAAGAAGCGATATTTACATTCATGCCACTTTATTTCATGCTATGTTCCATCTTCAATCAAAAAAACTCATTTTCACTCCAAAATATATCAATACTCTAAAATGCAGTAATTTAACCTAACTTAAAAAAAAAATCTATGTATATTCTTACTTATACTTTATTTAACCTAACTTTCATATTTTTAAAAAAGGGGTGGGAATAATACGACGCCTTCACCCTCACGTGAATGACATTTTTTTTACAATTGGCTGAAGCAAATGACGGATGTCAAACGAGTGTTAGGCGTTCGACGGGAGATGATCTTACATATCTAAAATCTAATATTTTAATATTATATACCTATCATCCATAGAAAAAATATGGGTTATGCATGGAATAAAATATTAAAATTTATAGGGTGGTATGAGTGTTAAGAATGAAATATATTAGTTGTATATTTAATATTAAAATTTTATATGAATGATAGAAATATAATATTAAAGTTAGAAGTGCTAGATATGTAAATAGTATGAAATAATGTGGTACGTATATAAATCCTGATTTTTTTTCAACAGTTAAAGCATCAACACTCTCAACAACCAATATGGTTCATATGACATTTGCAATTTTGGAGAAACCAGCCAGGTTTCAAAAGCTACGAGGGACATTCGGAATTTTGATCCAGAGGGGAAGGGAAGATAATTCTTTATCTCTTCCACCTAAATTCAAGGGACAATTTTTTAAGAATAAAAAGATTTTCCAAAAAGGTAGCCTGCTCCAAGCCATCTCATAATCTTCCACATATGAAAATTTGAAGGGAAAAAACTCATCATTCAAAGAGAAGAGAAAGAGTACCTTTCATTTTCCATGTCTTTTTTATGAAATAGAGCAAAGCCTCATAATAAGACCTTTTGTAACCAACCAAACAAAAGTCCTACTCTTTGGATCCTTCTTCAATATTATTTAACAAATAGCATATATATATATTTGAGTATAAAATTTCGGGTCGAATTTTTGTGTCGTGTTCATTTTTTATAGCCCTACTCTCTCTTCTCTCTCTCTCTCTTAATTTTATCTATTTTTTGTTAAACAAGTCTTCTCAATAAGAAATCCTAGTTGTATATAATTTTTTGTACTTGAAATCCTTAAAGCAAAGATTAAGGTTTGGCATGATTGTTGATATGACTAAAAGTTTTATGCAGACTATACAATCATGAAGAGAGTTAATTTGACAAGTTTGGTTAAGTTTAAGATTTAATTTACAGCTAAAAGGATGCCTTATGTGTTGATTGAAACCAACAGTTGTATAAATCATTTGAATAATTTATCCTTCTCAAAGCTCATAAGTTAGACACCAAAGTTTAGGCTTCATTTGAGACGGTTTTTTTACTGCTTTTTAAAGCAACGTTCTAGTAGAAAATTTTTTACCTAAAAAGCTACTTTAAGTAGCAGTAAAAAGACGCCCCAAACGAAGCCTTAGTCTTCGTTTAGGATAACTATCTTACCCCTTTTTAAAATAACTTTTTAGTGCAAAAATTTCTATTTTAAAATTTTTTTGTACTAAAAAGTAATTTTAGAAAATAGTAAGAGAACTATCACAAACAAAATCTTAGGCCTCTTATTGTTTCTTAAAGCTGCTTTTTAGTAAAAATTTTGTATTAAAAAGCTGCTTTAAAGACAGTAAGAAAGCCATCCCATGGGATAGCTTTTTCATGCTTCTAAAAAAATAAATTTTTAGTACAAAAATTAATTTTTTTTTACTAAAAAGCTACTTTAAGAAGCAGTAAAAAAGTCAACTCAAACGAAGTCTTAGTTCAATCAAAATTAGTAATTTGTGCATGATGCAACTGCATTACAAATCTAAATTAGATGAAGGTCAACCTTCAACGATTTTGATTTATCACATCACACTAAAATATGATTTTCATTAAGCTTGAAATAGAGAAACATAATGCTTGATGTTGTTACATCAAATTCCAATAAACTCAATGAGATTTACCATTACCAGCACTAAAAATGGCAATAATTATTAGTAATTGTATAAATGACATGGAAGTCTCTAGAATATTCTATGATCACACAACATCATTTTGACCATCGAATTAATTATGTTATTATTACATCCTCAGTTATATTATATTTTGTAATTCAATAAACTCGCAGGAATTACTGTACTTCGGTCATTACTATTTGATCATTGTTATTCCTTGTTCGCTAAAATTGTAACATAAAATATTTTGCCTTCAATGCTACGATCCTAAGCGTTGATCATCTAGTTTTACAAAACATTTAGCACTTTATTATTCTCATACATTGTAAACCTTCTTACAACCAAAGAAAACCCCTTTGTTAAGGCTTCATTTGAGTTAAATTTTTTACTATTCTTTAAAATAATTTTTTCTACAAAAACTCATTAAAAATAACAAAAAAAAAATCTTAATCAATAGTTGTCTCAAACAAAATTTAGTTTTTCTTAGTGCTTTTTAAAGCAGCTTTTTAATAAAAAAAAAAAATCATTTTAAACTAAAAATTTACTTTAAAAAATAATAAGAAAATCATCCCAAACAAAATCTTAAACAAGAGAAGCAAGAAAATTTGCTTACTAATACTTTCCTTCAATCCTTCCTTGCCCTTCATGCAATTAATTAAAAATAATATCATCATCACTCATGTATAAAGTCCTCATGGTTTGTTCTTTATGTAAAAAATGATAATAATTATAAAACTTTATTACCAGAAAAATTCTACATCCTATTTTGTAAACAACCCTAACTAAAATAAATAAATAATAATAAAATAAAAATAAAAAATAAATAAATTTTAAAAATAAATAAAACCTAACCAATCCTAGCAAATTTGTCAAAACTTCTTAAATCCCTCACATATATGTATGAGCTTATCAAAACCCTAAATATTGTTGAATGAAAAGTTCATATTATTACTTGAAATTTATGATAAATCTAAGTAGCAATGTCACAGGAATTACAAATTGATGATCACAGAACAAGATACATGCAAAAACAGTTGAATATATCAACATTATATCTTACAAAGCATTAAAAACAAAAGCATGGACTCTTTTATAGTCTATCAAGGATCTTTGCCTTACCAGCCTCTCTCATCCCATAATGTCCTGGCCAAATGGTTGGAAATCTCTCTCTCTCTCTCTCTCTCTCTCTCTCTCTCTCTCTCTCTCTCTCTCTCATCCGAGTTAAAAAATGAAAAAAAAAATTAAAAATATATATATATAAATATTATATATGGTAGTAAAGCTTGAACTTATTGGGTTTTAGCTTTATGCAATTTTTTTGAAGAGCTCACAGTAACTTAATGGGTTTTAGCTTCATGTCTAGTAGGACTGTGGCAGCTGCTATATCCTTTCAGGGCCTTACCTGTCTTGAAATGATGCATTCATAAGGTTCACAGCTGAATCCATGAACTGCGACATGAAAGAAGATAAAATGAGTACCATAAATCATCAATATTATGTGAAAATTGGAGGTCCATTCATAAAGAATATAATACTTGAAATCTTATAATCTAACGGTAAAATTTTTAAAACTTTTCAAACAGGCAGCTAGCTGCATGATAAGGTCTGCTAGTAGAGGGAACGATATCAACTTCAATGGCAGATTACAGCCCCCGTGTGTGTGTTTGTTGTATTTATTTATTTTTTTATTGCTTTAGGGCCATTATGAACTAACCTCATATCATAGGAAACGGAGAAATTATTCTGTGCAGTTATGAGAGTGCATCACGTCATCCGGTATACAGCACTCTGATACACACCAAAAAATGACTATCGCTGGTAGTCCCAAAAGAGCAAGGGGACTACCATAAACTAAGGAATCCAATTAGTGTTGTTTGAAGCCTCTATCAATGTATGGTTTGGAGAGAGACTAATGTGCACAACCTTATCTTACATTACAAATGAGGTTATTCGATTGAATTGATGCCATGACCTTCAAGTCACAATGAAGGCAACCTAACAATTGCTCCAAGTATACCCTCTGGAAGACAAGAATAGAAAAAGGCAAACTAAAGGCATTGAGAAGATCCATAGATTAAGGCTTCATTTGAGACCATTTTTTTAAACAGTTTTTTAATATACACATTTTAATTTTTGTACTAAAAAACTATTTTAAGAAAAATGAAGAAAGCGGTCCCAAGTGAAGCCTAGATCATGAGGGGATGGTAAATCTGACTCCAACTATCAAATTCAAAAAATTTATAACAAGTTGAGCATTAAATCGTGAAGACATAAAGAGATAAAGTTAGTTATTTTAAACCATCCAATTTCTTGACTAAGGTTGAGCTTAACTACACAATCATTGAAGTAATTGTAAATATTTACACCAGCAAGACAATAAATAATATTGAACAAACTACACAATCATGGAGAAGTTAACTCCACACTTATCAGCACAATATGAAGGCACAATAAGAAGTGCATGCGATTTAATTTTTAATTGATTGTCCTATGAAGGCAATATTGCTTAAGCAAGAACATTCTGAGAAATCAATGAAGTTTTTGATGAAGCTCAAGGAGATTGAGCTTCAATGTGTTCCAAGTTCACTGTGAAAGCTCAGGTTTTAGCAAAATTTCTCAAAGATTTTACCCAAAGTCTAAGTGCTGCACAAAATGGAAGCCAAACTGGATTACTGTTAAAAGCATACAAATGATGTTTTCAGGAATTAATAACAATGAAGTTTACGTTTCCATGAGAATCATAAAGAAACTAACCAAGATTTCTCCTTGAAGATCAACCTTTGAAGCACAAACAACCAAAAAGAGTACAGCCATGTTGGTTGGCCTAAGATTTGCTTTTTTATGTGAAGATCTAAAATTTGATGATGTTCAATGATTCTTAGCTGGTTATAAATCAAATGTTAATAAAGTTTGAAGTAAGAAAACAAGCGTTGGCTTGGTGCGTGATCAAGATGAAGGTGAATTTGTAAAATTTGAAAAGTTAAAAATGGCATGACTTAAAAGAAGCGAATCAATTGGCTGAACTCATAGCGAAATTTGGAAATTCTTACATAACTCTAATATGGGAACTATTAGTATCATCCATCGACGACCAAAGGAAAAGGATGTTAACTAAATGGGGGTTAGTTAATGTCAATCTACAACTAAAGGGCAAAAAGCCTTCCATCTAAAAAGGCATCTAAATACTTGATATCCAAAGAGATCCTTTACAAGAAAACTTTTCTAAAGCAAGTAAGAATTGTCTTCGATCCAACCAACTCAAAGAGATCATTGAAAGAGAACTGCCAGCATGTATCCACTTATTCCCATCATCTGTAAATCTAATTACAAGAGAAGGTTGGCATAATAAAAACTGTTATGACAATCTTCTGAGCTCCTATATAACTTAAAACTCTTATTTCTTTTATATATACTTCATCTAATCATGTATTAAGGATTTTTGGCCTTCTAACTTCTCTAAGAGAGTAAGCTTAGTGTGTAGAAGAGATATATCTAGAGACTTAAAGCTCCCAATTTAATACAAAACCAAAAAAAAATACTATGAAGCTTTGTCTTCTCACAAGAGTCATGTCTACATTGCTTTCTTCTATACTTAATTGTCAATTCTTCATTTCAACTATCTCTTTCTTCATGATTTTACTTCTTGGAGTAACTTTATTGGTTGAAGTTACGTAAGTCACTCCAAAGACACAAAAGATCAGCATGAAGATAAGTGCAAATCGCTTAATAATTATATAAGACTTCAAAATGCAGAAACATCTAATTTCAACATTGCCTAGTAAAATATTCTCATTAGTATTTGAACAAAAAATGATTCATTAAAAGTATTTTCCGATCAAACTAATACAAACAAAATTATGATGAGGAAGTAGAATATTGATAAGCATAATCTTTATAGATTACTTTATCTCAGGGGTGACACTCTTTATCAAGAATCATTTGGGTTACTAATCTTTCTTAAGCTAATAAAAACCAACTGATCGATATCATTAGTCAAATCTCCAATCAAGGAAATAAAAAAATCACTGCTAAAGCCAATGAGTGACCTAAGCTCTAATACTTCAAAAACCTTGAGAAGGATGACTTCATGTTGTATTCTCTGTTAATTAACTAGGATATTAATTACACAAAAATTCTTCACTCAACTACCCTTCATCTCTACAGAGTAAAGTTCTTCGCAATAAAGGGGTACTGATAGCGCATATGATGGCTACTTTTGTTTTAGGGGTATTAACCCAGATTATATCATTTATATATCGCCATATCCGTTACTTAAGTTAAATGTTATGGTTAGTTCTCCACTCAACTACTGTTTCATTAGTCATTTAGGACGAGTTTGATATTCTTCTAATTTGTTTAAAGATAGTTTTGGTATCTTGTCATTATAAAGAGTATGGAGTATGAAATTAAACTGGTGATAAACTTTAAATTTTGGTTCCATGAGATTTAAACCCCTGATGGATGATTGAGAATTTGCAGCTTCTTTGTGACTTCAGAATTCAAAATTTTGCTTCGAGGATTAGACAATCTTAAGCGTTGAGGAATCATCACTAACAGCATAAGATATGTTGTGCATCTTTATAACCCTATCGCACTTTCTCTTTCCTTCATTCTTCATTTTATCAATCAATTATACAAAGCTTTCACCATGTTGCTCCTTTTTCCGATTCATTAAGTTACAAAATCATGCATGCAATTTATTAGAAGTATAACTCCTTGAAAATTCAAAATCTTAGCCATATATCAAGTTGTCTTCCCAAAAAAAAATCCCAATCGTACTTTTAATCCAACTCAACTTGCTCAGAAAGTTAAAATTTTGATTCTAGAATTTCCATGTAGTCCAAAATTAACTAACCAGAATTTCTGTTTGTGTATCACAATATAAACCATTAAAAGGATAAAAAATAATTTAATGGAAGGTTATAATAAATTTCTAGCAATGCATAACAATATAAGAGAATCACATCTTGTTATACAAATTTAGGAATCAGAAATTAAATATGGAATCTCATTAAGTGGGTATGGGGATGCAACCTTAAAAGTATAAGTTGGATTGGCATCAGCTACCAACCATGATAAAGTATTGGTAACTAAGTAATAACAAAAGCATATATGAGTATTGCAGAACATTGAGGGCTGGTTTGTCCATATGCATCTTGACTTTCTTCAGTTGTAAAGACCATAATCAAATTAGGTTCATTTGCCATTATGGTGGACTGTGGACATACAACAAAATGCATCAAAGCTTGCAAGCTTTTTGGATATCATGTGTGAAAAAAAGAGAAAACTGCAAAAAATAAAAAAAATAAAAAATAAAAAACTAAAATCTTTTCTTTTGTCACAAATCAAATGTGGTGCTATCTTATGAGATAATCATCCTATGTGCTCCCAAATTATACAGCATCATTATTAGGCTTATTCAAACTATTTAGGGGTTAACTTTAAGAATCCTCATTTTGATTCATTCATATTGAGTGTTGGTTCAAGTATTAGAGCTACTCTACACACATCATTTTAAACTTCTATTCATATTACCTGAGGTTTAGCCATTCTTCCTCCTAATCATTTGGTATTAATTTTAGTTGCCCACCCAATGGTGCTTTGCTACCCTTTGTTATACGGATCCAAACCACCCAAGTCCACTTTAAATTAGCTTATTTTCAACTTATGTCATTCTCTTCATTTGTCTAATATAATCATTCCTTAATTTATCATTTTTAATCATACATCCAATTTAACATTCACATTTTCACAAAACCAAACCTAGTTATCAACAAAAAACTTTTTACCATCCACTGGTCGAATCCCATACAATATTGCTGATGTAACACACTATTTCAAAATTCACCTTTGAGTATTCACAATATCTTCACATCGCACAATACTCCTACATCATTTTAATCGCCAACCTTAACACTAGAATTTATATCCTCATATGTATCTCCATTCTTCTATATAATAAATCTAACATACTTAAGTCTATCAAACCAAAGTAACACAAGATCTTCTAATATTATTGATTGATAATTATAATATCACAATAGATAAAATTATAACTCATATACCAAATATTTATTCTAATGATTCAAAGCTTTCTATCTTCTAAACATTATCTCTATTATTCTCTCTTTCCACATAAAACTATCATTTTGGATCCCAAGAATGGTTGAGAGAGATTAAAAGTCAATGTTAGGAAGACAACTAATTGTATAACTTAGCCAAAACTACTGAAATAATGCCAAAATTTAAATATTCTCCCAAATTATACATAACAAAGGCAATTTGATTATGGAAAAGTAAATAATTATTTAGCCTTCCAAGAAGTTTGATGCATAAAAATGACGAAGTCCTTTTACATAACATAACATTCAGTATGAGCATTAAATATTCCCCACCTGCATCACTAGCTATGCCGTATGATTTCAATGTTGTAAAACAAATAGTCTCAACTCTCAAGACCTATCAGTATATTGCACTTTTATTTAAAAGAAAAATACATAAGCTATTCATCCAAAAGTGCAGTTCATGTTTGGTAAATAATAAACCAAGCAATGAGATGTTTCAAAGATCATATTTAGCTTAGGCACGAGTAGTGTAACTAGTAGTGTAACTAATTCAGCAGACAAGAAGTCACTATTCATCCTATCAAATGAAACTGATACAATTTTTTCAGAATAAAAACAACAAGATGATACAAAAAGTTGAACAAAAAACAATTAATGTAATTATGTGAGAGTGCCTTTAAAATTTCCTAACAAAAAAAATCTTGATCTACCATAAAGAAAAAAAGAGAACAAATTGGCATTCAACCGTACCTTTCCCAGAGCTTGAAGCTCCCGTCCAACAGGTTCGATAAACTTCAAGTTAATATTGATAGGCCAAATCTGTTAATCAACAACAAAGATTTAATTTTGAGCACAATCTCCAAAAAAGCAATAGGTAGAAAGAAGGAACAAATAATTGCAATATGTTGTCATAAGACCTTACAGAAGGCTCTTTTTTCTCTTATATTACAAGGCTATAATTTTCAGAATTGAATAATGGCCCAAATTTAATATCTTAACAAAATAATTGCATATGGCTTTACAAACATAATTAAATAAACCTAGACAACATATCAAATCCAACAAAAAATAAAAGAAGTGATGACTTGTTAACAAGGAAACAAAAGAAACTTCATCTATTGATAAAAGATCAATTACTTCTAAACAACCCACAAACATAACCAATATCTTCAAAGAGGCAAACAAAAACTCACCAAGAAAGCAGGCACAAAAATAGAATTCTTCCATTTTCCCTTACAGAAACTCAACAATGGTCAAAACTAAAAAGTTAATGATTTGGTGAAAATTTTCGAAGGCACAAATTTATTTCTAAATCCACTAGCACCGAGAGGGTGCAAACTTATAAGCATGATAATATGTTTGGATGTATATGAGTATATCTGCTCCAATAAGCGAAACAGTCCCTAATTTTTTTCTAATCGAAATGTTTGCAAACAACTGATTAAGTTAAGACAATAATGTGTTCTAGAATGCAACTGACAGCACAAGGTAAAAAAAAAAAAAAAACCTAAGCGTCCTCTTAGAAAAATGTTCGACTGACCCTATCATTTTGTTCATATTTGCAATATTTCTGCCATTACAATGACCCCGAAATATATACTTCAGATGGGAAAAAGAAATCACACTGGCTAACTTTAATAACAGACAATTTTTTTAAGGTAATCACTAATCACCATAGCTTTTGCCGCTAAATATGTTTCAGAATGATGGAAGCAGATTGTGCGGTTCACAATCTATTTTCTTCGAAAGAAATAAAAGAAACAAGAAAAGAACCAAAGAATATGCTATTGGAAATAATTCTCATAAACTTCAAATCACGATGACGTAGATAACGATTCAATCCAACCTTTATTCCAAGAATTCTCACGGGAGTGACCTGACCAGGAACGATGCACTCCGGCCCCGCCGCTTCCAGCCTCGCCTCCGTCGCAAAACCCTCTCCAATAGGATTCGGATGCTAAGAAACAAAACAACAAATCAACACGAAAATACCCAGGGATGTCAAAAGAAGCAGAAAACGCAGCGGAAACAACTTTCATGACGCTGAGAGCGTAGCTGGCATTAGGGTTTTGAGGGAGGCGAAGAACGGGGCTTTGGTGGATCCTCGGAACCGGCTTCATTCCGACCGGAGACGCCCTCCATGGTACGTCTTCGGCGAGCAGCACTCTCTTGGAGGCAGCGGCGGAGGCCATCTGGGAGGTCGGAACCGGGCGGGAGAGAATCGAATGGCAGGAACGAGAACACAGAGGAAGAGGCTTCAGTGCTTCACTTATAGATGGATAAAGAGATAATTTTAGCTTGCAATATCATAATGAGCTTGTAGTATATAGTTTTCGTTTTTTATTTTTAGAATTTTATTTTTTTAGTAAGTTTTTTTTTTTTTTTTGAAATTAAAATTTTGATATTGAGATAATTAATTATAGATAGTTTTTAAATAATATTTCTCTTATAAAAAAGCAGTAGAAAAGTTATTCTAAATAAAACTTCTCTCATTTATGTGCTTATTATGTGATTATTTGAATTAATATAAAAAGTGGTTATATACTTAGAAATAAAAAATAAAAAACCAATGTTATACTTTATCCAAAAAAGGTTATGTTAATAGCTGATCACAAGAAACTCATGTAGCTATTAAAATAAGAGTTTTAGAATGTATCTAATATAGAGCCTCTTGAATTGAAATTTATTTGATGGATGATATCAGACTTTAGTAGCAGATCTATCTGTTAAGCTTGAGGACCTGTTGGTCAGAATGAAGGGTGGAAAAGAACAGATGAGAATGAATTAAACAAAATCTTCACTATCATAATCAAGAATACATAAGTAAGCTTGGAGCCTCTAAATGATCTAAAGATCTAGAAAGTCCTCCCAATTGTTCATCATCACCTTTTATTTATAAGGTTTTGAAGGCAACACAGAGAAAAGTAGAAGCATGGGCTACACAAAAATATTAGTACAATGCTACGCGCTAGTGTTAGACACGTGGCACCTCCTAATTGGTTGTAGAAAGATGAAATCAATGAACCGGGGAGCTATTTGACATTAGGCAAGCTCAGCATAGGGTGAGTAGTTGTTGAGCGAGACTTGAGAGAAGATGGGCTCATGGCTGGTGAGAAAATTTCTCCTATTTAGATGAGTTCCTCTAGTAGTCGTGGGGAAGTCTTTCAAGGCATTTACTTCTGAAAAAAAAAAAATTATCACGACCTGTTTGTTACCTATAAAGACACCTAAGAAGGCAATTGTGTAATAACCCTATAAAATAAAATTGTTAAGGGGTCATTATAAGTCAAATTTGAAATATATCTTCACCAAAAGATAGATCTTCTTTTGTTTTAATTATACTAAATTTTTTTATAATTTTTTTAGCACTAATAAAAATCCTTAAGAAATTAATGTTGTTGGTATAAGTGAAAATTTTGGAGCCGTCAGGTATCCATTTTGCAAACCAATTTTATCAAAAATTTTAAATAAAATGAGTTATTTATGGATATTTTATGACCCCCCTCTCCGCTCTCACACCGACGATGCAGCCAAGCCCCCCGCTCACCTTGCGACATAACCCTACGCATGCACCGCGCACTATACCGCGACCTAGCATGTGCTCGCACATCAACCCCGACCCGCGCTTGCACAACAATTTGCCTCGCACTTGCCCCCATGCCCCCTCTGCGCCCGGTCTGCGCCCGGGTCAGCGTGTCATGTCGGGTCGGGTTGACCCAAGTTTGGGGGTTTGGGTTGACCCGGGTTTGGGACCAGTCAAGTCTAAGTTCGGATTTCTAACCTAATTCTAAAATCATGTCGGATTCGGGTTGAGCCAATTAAAGCCTGGTCAATAACGGATTGGACTAGAACCTGTCCCGAAACCGATATTGACCCCTAGATTGAAGGTTGGAACATAAAAAGATTTGTCAAGATAACTCATAATTTAGCAGACTTAACTCATAATTTAGCAGACTTATATACCATTTAGATGATATTACAAAGAGTTGTATGTACATTTACATAGCAGTATTCAAGCACAGACAGTGAGCTGAATTTGGACCACAGGTCCACAATAAGATTTCTCATTGAGAGAGAGAGTGTGTGTGTGTTTTCATTTGGGATATGTATCATCATTTAATTATGTAACAATTTTTAAATCACAAGAAAAATAAGTTCCTGACAAATTCAGTCTAAGGGTTCATTTGTTTCCCCATTTCTTCTCCGTTTTTCGGTTTGAAACGAAGAAATCAGTTGACGAAGATGTTTGAATGTAAGATAATTTTTTTAAAAAAACTCCATTTCTCTTCTTATTTGAGAAACATTATATATTAGCTTATCCATTTCAAAAAATTCATTTCTTATAGTGACGTTTTTGAAACTGAAACGGCAAATAAACCAAACGAAGCCTAATAGAAAATCCAAATGAAATTCAACTCTTATTGCAAACTTGACTGCAACATCCCTTCGCAAGGGCAAATTATTATGTCCGGTGTCCGGATTCGTCCGGACACCAATCCAGATGTGTCACGTCACCAAAATACACCGGGTCCCAGTGTATTTGGGTGACGTGACGCATCTGAATTGGATGTCCGAACGTCCAGTGACCGTGCGTAATAATTCGCCCTTCGCAACATGTTGCACAAACTTCTGAGAGAATAGAATTGTTGAACAAATGAGGATTTACCGAGAGATGATCCCAAATGACCTTTGAAACAGGTTGTATTCATGAAAAGAATGCTCCTCATTATGATGTGTTGTAGCTTTTTACTTTACACGAAGTTGTATCAATCTCAATGGCCTTTAAATAAATATTCAATAGTAAAAAAAAAATCATTTTATTTTTATATAAGAAATCAAACATATTTTAAAAAAAAATAATATGAAAATGATTTATTCAATTATAATTTAAAAAAAAAAGATTGAAATATTTTATAGTTCAATCACAATTAAGCGCCATTATTTTCTCACTTTATTATATTAATTTTTTGTTATTTTATTACAATTTAAAACATTAAGAGCAATGAAAAGATGATGACTTTTATATGTTAAAAATAGGCACCTTAGTCCTTAACTCAGGTGGTAAATTCTTTTAGGAACTATTATTAACATTTTGAGGTAAAATTGTATTAATATCAAAATTTCAAATTTAATTAAAAAACAAAATCGAATGATTCTCTCTGTCCGAACTCCGCGCGTAATAATCTCTCATACAGATGGAACTATTCTATCAATATAATTTAGATCAAAGTGGTCACAAAATGAATCATGAGGGCCATATGAACAAATATAGCATGGAAAAAACTAACAATGTTTGGGACAATTTCTTATATGACTTATTCTTCATATAGCAACACAATTTCATTAGAATATTACTTTCTCATTACCTTCTCGCCGATTTTCATAAATTTTTATGGCGAAATTTTTCTTTTTGCAACAATAATAACAAAGTTATTTTTTCTACAGCAACTTCACAACCAACTCTATAAAAAACTACCGCCATCCCAACCCAACCCTAAGACTTAGGCTTCGTTTACGATTTTCTTACTGCTGCTTAAAGTAGCTTTCTAACACAAAAATTAAATAAAAAAGCCGTCCCAAACATAGCCTTAGACTTCTTCAACATAACAACAACAACAATATCAAATTTTTATCCCACTACTTAGATCCGACTACATGAATCATTTTTCTCCATTATTCTATTAAAAGTGAAATTATCATTTAAATCTAATAAAAAATATAATTTCTAATAAATTCTAACTAAATCTTTTTAAGTCTTCGTTTGGGACGGCTTTCTTACTACTTAAAACAGCTTTTTAATAAAGTTGATTTAAAAAACAACAAAAATATCATCCCAAAACGAAACCTACGTCTACCTCTACCAATCTTACCACAAGTCAAATCTAATACATCCATTCTCTTAACCATATCAACGGAAGGCCGACATTTTAATAAAGAGAAATTAATATAAATAATTCTCTATGGTGAAAAAGAGACCACCTACTAAAGCGCTTCTAAAAGAATCTTTGATACAATGGAGAAGCAGAGGAAGCAAATAGCAAGGGAAAAAAAAAAATCTCAAACCTCAACGCATCTTTTATTGCACAACAAAAACTACCAGAAATATTTAGAAGAAATTAAAGAAGGCACATTAGCATTCACCTAAATTGTCTCCTGCTCTTCAATGACAAGGTTTGATGTAGGACTGCTGCTCTAATAATGCCTTCACATCAAAGCTTTTTACTAATAGCCATAATAGGAATCATAAGGAGTGCCATATCCACCACCAGCATAAGGCGGAGCTCCGCCGTTGGCCGGAGTAGTAGAATACATACCGTGTGGCTGGTAGGAACTGTAACCCTGATCAGCTGAGCCGATAGCGTTCTGTGCAGGAGCAGATGCAGATGCAGTTGCAGCAGCTTCCGCCATGAAATTCTGCAATAGAACCAAAGGTCAAATACAAATTAACTACAAGCCTACAATCAAAAGTCTAGAAAGAAACTGGGATATTATTGTTTGATTGAGCTTATTAGCTTTTCAGTTTTGTCGGCCATCATCAATGGTATGTTTTTAAATATAGAAATAAAAAATAAAAGTAAACAAACTAATGAAAAGAAAATGAGCAAATTACATTGAAATCGACAGTCGATGCGATGCATCCAATGAAAGTAATTGTAAGGATTTTCATCAGGAAGGTCCTATAGAAAAAGGAACCACTACAACCAAAATCAAGATTATTATTATTATTCCAACAGTTTGTGCTGAATGTTGGCCATTAAAAGAGAATCATGATACTGAGTTAAGTATTGAAGAGATGAAGATGCTCACAGGTGGATGAGTGGCTTTACCCTTAGAGATAGGATACTAAATGAGCATATACGTGAAAAGGTTGCAGTAGCAACAGTGGAAGATAAGATTAGAGAGAGTCACCATAGATGGTTTGGTCACATAAAACGGTGGCTTCCAATGACCCGGTTAGGAAAGTAAAGGTATTAGATTTGACTTATGTTAAGAAAGATAGAGGTAAACCGGAAAAGACTTAGAAAATATTAGAAATGATCTATGAAAAAAGAGATGTCCGAGTAAATGACTGATCAAATGGTCACAATGATGGAAGAATTGAAAAACCTTGCTACTAAAGTAGCACCACCACTATCTACCACACCAGATGTCTAAATAGAAGGAGAGCTATCCATTAGAAGAGAATAACTCAAAAAGGAAAATCAATCAATAAGGAAGAAGCTGAGAAGAATACATAAATGACAAACGAAAAATAACCAACAAAGTTGCCTTATTATGACAGAACACTCAACACTGAGGTGATAGATAATTTGGTTTGGGCTGTTAACAAGATAGAAAATTGCATTTGCTCATTGCCATCACATTTGTGTGATGAACTTCACAATTTCTGAGCTATCATCTATCATCAACATTGACATGATAAAAGTTTAAAGCTCCTTTATATCTTAGAAATTTAAAAAAAAAAAAAAAACGGAAAGAAGGTTATATCCAAACAAAAGTGTGGCATTGGCCTATAAATCAGTGAAAAAGTAGTACCAAATGCAACCTATCTAAGAATACTCAGAGATAGGCAATACAGTTCCAAATGAACATCAGAGGAAACGTTTCAAACATACACCAAAGAAAAGCTTCTGCGTAGATACTTAAAGAACAATTATGAACGAATGTTGACGAATGCTTTTGAATGAATTTTATAGTTTATAGAACACTTCTGAACAAATCCTTAAGTAAAGCCTTTGAGAAAAACCTTGAGGAACATTTTGCAGTAATAAATATCACCCCAATTTCATCCGACCGTCATTGCTCGGCTCGAAGCACTCAACCTTGATAATTAAAACAAGAAACTGAAGCACCGAAAGCTAAAGAATGGTTGAGAAAGGGCACATAGGACACCCTCGGGATGGCATGCAGGACTTCTAGAAATTTCATACGGAAACCATAATTGCACAAATGAGTATTCCAACAACGGTGTGAAATCTCCAAAATGCTAGAAGTGGCCTATGAGGAAACATCATTTACAATCCTGGACGAGATTCATTGGCCTATATCTTAGCTAAAAAAAAGGGGGATTCATCTCTCTGCCTGAATGAAAAATGAAATTTTAACATGGGTTCTCAAAAAACAACAATAGAGATTCCTCTATTTAAGAAGTCATCATGAATAATGCCTATAAATACTTTGCCAAATTGAACAAATGAGGGAATCCCGTCCCAATTTTAATGAATCCTTCAAGTTCAAAAAGCAATTGAGTCTTCTAACTCTTCAATTTTTAGAAGAAAACATTTTTTACCATCTATTTCCTAGACTCATCTCTAGAATTAGTTAGACATGCTATCTCACTCTCCAAGTCCTCAAAACTCCAAATCTAGACATTATCAGGTAGCGAATAATCGTTTAACATCAAGATGGGTCATTATTGCATGGTTTACCACATTTAATCATAGACTCTGAAATGTCCTACATCATTTTACAACAAATTATAGAAATTCTTAGCTAGAAAAATGTGTTATGGTCAAAAGATCAGTGACATGATGAAATCTTAGACCTGTGTCAATTGCTGAGCAGTTTGAACTTGGGTAGCACTCCCAATAATTTCAACAGTCATTTCTCCAGGAACACCCCTTGTTTCCTGTATTGTTACAGCTGCTCCACTGGCACGGCGGATGTAGCTGATATTAGCGCCTGCGGCCCCTATTACAGCATCAGCATATGAAAGTGGAATTTGCATATGCTGTGTAACCTAACAAAGGATGGGCAAGTTAAAGATTAAGCAGAACAAACCAATTCCGCTACAAAACCACTATCATTTAACATAAAACAAATCAGAATATTATTTACACCTGTGCAACCAATGGCGTTGCTGGTTGTAGAGTAGCTGCAGGGTAACTGCCCATTGATGTCGCATCTCGACCATAAGCAGATATGCCATGGTGAGGTTGTTTTTCTAATGTAGGAAGGTCGGGTGGATGGAAATAATTATCATGAGGACGAGGAATGTACTGAGGATTAGCACCGTAGCCTGGGCCACCAGCATTTGGAGGAAGGCCTTGCGGGTGACCCCAGGGTTGAGATGGTTGCATTTTGTGGTCCAGTTGCAGATTCTGCATTGACATCCGTAGTGTTATTCAAATAAATTTCAAATTTTAATTTGCACAAATGAATGACTCCAGAAAATAGATTAGTTCATCCAATGCTAGTTCTAGTAAATCTATGGAGTGAGAATAAGTAACATCCACCTCAAATAACGGCAGCACACCGCGGTCAACCACAAACTTCCTTAAATGATTTGATATTAACTCCAGCGCCTTATGCACCCCCACTGGTTCTCCTTGTATTTCAACAACTCTATCATCTGGCAAAGCAACAGGGGGCAAATCTTCTGCGCAAAATCAAACAAGATATGAAGAAACATATTTGCTATAACTAAGTTACTTTTCAAAGTAAAATGTTATCAAAACATAAAGAGCTAGTGAATATTTTCTTGATAATAAATTTGAAAGTTAAAAGCTAATAAATTCATTATATCACATGTAATTGAAGGAACTTGCTGTTTTATTTCATTTAAACAAAACTTCACAACAAAAGGTTTTCATTTTTCACATCACCAGCCTAAACTACAACATTCTCTTGAAAATTTATCTCATACTGAAGATTGTTGAGCCAAATAGACCTACATAGAGGCAAAGAGCTTTGGATATAACATGGAAATCATCTTCATGCAAATAAATTGTAAGTTCAACCAGTGGTTTTCTTTACCGGTCAAATGTTTTTTACTGAAAACATTTAAAAAATCTTTTAAAAGATCAAAGATAGACCTTTTAAACACAAAGATGAGCATCCTTCATACAAATAAAATATTTTTTAAATGTTTTACGTGGGGTCGGCTACATGAATCTTTTTTCTCCATAAAGGATTCATGTCATTATTATTCAACAAGTTTTACGTTGGTTGTCAACTACCTAAAGCAACCCTCCACTTTTCTCATCCAGGAGACCAGGACTTGGGACATGGCAACGGCAGTGTTAAATTGATGACACCATAGTGGGACTTCATACAAATACAATGTTTCTGATAAATAAAAAAAGATTCTTTTGCTGACACCACATTATGGGAAATCTAAATTACTGTTCATTATTAAGCCGCTTCTTTTCCAAAAAATGGCATGGGGAACAGAAAATACAAAGGACAAACAAAATCATATGGATGAGAAGAATTTACTAAACCAGCGTAAACCATTGTGTAAGATCACCAAAAAAAGGATTAAAAAGGAGTATATATTTCTCCAAATCATGAACATTGTGATAAAAGCAAGGAAATAATATAGGAATATTTACCAAAAGTAGTGTCAACCCGTTAACCCGAAATTGACCTAGATTTGACCCGTCCCAATCCGAACTAGCAAGTCGCCCGACTCGCCCCTATCCAGCGCCTCGCCCCAAACTCAAGTCTCGTGCACCCCCAGCGCTTGCATCTGCACCAGCAGCGCTCACCCTTGACTCGTTGACCTGCACTCTCACTCACGCGGTCCCGCCCTTGCTAGCAGTCACGCACGCACCTGCACACCCGCGCACTATAACACACTCGCGACGACACTGCCTCGCCCACGCCCGCTCGCAATCTGCATCCGCGCACCCACACCCGCAGAGCTCGCTCGGACTAGTACACCCGCGCTCACACTCACGCCCGCTCCCGCAATCCCACACGTGTGTTATGCTCTCGCACACGCAGGTTACAAATCATGTCGAGTCAATCCGATAACACGATGGGCTAGGTAAGGGTTTGAATTTCAGACCCACTTATAAAATTGAGTTGGGTTCGGGTCAGCTAAATTGGACCCGGGTCAATTCCGAGTCAGCTAAGTCATTAAACTCTATATATCTCTATCACTAAAAATGTTCCAGCACACAACAACACTCTTCCTCCATTTCAGTTTCTATAAACATCACCATAAGTAGTGAAATTCCTGATTTCCAGTATTTTAAAGAGAAGTGAGTCCAATCAGAGGCATCCAAAAATCTCCAACACAGTTTTGATTTCATGTGATAAGAGTTGCTAAAAAAAGATACTAAATTAAACAAACTGAAGTTTATGATATTTATAAAATATTCAATTGTTTTTTATGGGTGAAATGCATGATTCAACTAAGCGTTCTAAGGCAAGATATTTTAATGGAGTGCCAAACTCTATTTTCACCCTCCTGACGACGGCAGAGAACCTTCTAATTTTTCTCCCTTGTGGAGAAGGCAGAGTACCTCGAGGTCACAGATGTAGAAGAGCCTTCCCCTTGGAGATCCTCTCACAAGTTCTTCTAGGGCCATAGGAGGAGCAAGATGCAGCAAGTTCAGAGCAACCGTATGATCTCACTCACCCCTTTTCTCCCTCGCAACGCTCACCTTCTCCTTCCTCTCTCAAACCCTAAAGAACTTCTCAAGAGCTCTCTCCCTTGGAATCCCTCTCTAAACACGTTCTCCTCTCTGATCCACACACACAAAAACATTACTATTTTGACACCTTAAAACGGGCTCCAAAATCCCTGAAATTTTGAAGTAGCTGTAACGATCGTATAGTATGATTTCTAATAGTACCATACGATATGTATACCAAGCTTCGTCCTAGTACGAAGATGTACGAACAGTTCAAAATAAATCATACAGTATGATAATGAATTGTAAGGTATGATCCTAAACATTATTGATCCTACAGGACGATAGCATGAACGATCAAATGTCATCTCTATTCATCGTATTGTATGATATATATCATACAATATGAATGGTTAAAATTCAAGGCATCATCTAGGATGAATTTCGGGACGATCAAGAGTCATCTCTATTCATCATATCATACGATCTACATCATATTGTATGATGAGGAAAAACCAATGGATCGTCCAGGATGATCTCCGGGATGATCAGAATTCGTCTCTATTCATCGTATTGTACGAACTTGTTCGTACAGCATGATATTCAATTTTAAATTGAACCTTGAATTATTCCACTAATCACGAGGTAATTTAAGTATGTATTTAAAATAAATCGTACAGTACGAATGATGGAGAAAATACTTACTTAAGTTAATTTGACGCTAGGGTTTTTGGATTTGAACATATCATACAGTATGATTGGGATTCGTACGGTACGATCTATTCACAAAATCGTCCTACAAGCTCAGATCATACGATACAACAAAAATTCATACAGTATGATCTGCAGAGAAAGAAAATCTCCAAATTTTAAAAAAAAAAAATCCTCTCCCCCTGTGTGTGTGCATGGTTGCACAAACTTTTATGCATTTTGTGGCCAGACTCAAGAAAGTAAAAATAAAATAAATAAAAATACATTGTCAGACTCATACTCCTAATCTACCCATTATATATATATATATATATATATTTAAACGGAAATACAATAAAAAGAAAAATGTAGTAAGAGATAAAAAGAAAAATGTACGGTACGATATCTCCACTTCATACTGTATGAGACACGTCAGCAAACAGATTGGGATGACTTAACTCGGTTTGGTACGACATTATTGGTGTTCGTACTATACGATACCTACTCTTCGTAATGTACGATCCACCTCAGCAAAATGGATGAGCATGAGTTAAAGCTGTCTGGATTGATATTATTATTTATCATACTGTACGATATAACGGTTCGTACAGTATGAAACTTTTGGTCAAAAGTCATACTGACGACCCTCGGGACGATCGATATTCTTCTGATCGTACAGTACGATATATATCGTACTGTACGCTTTGACCACCTTTTCCTGAAAGGGTACATGTCGTTTGATATGCTTCATCTTCTTTATGCCAGATAAATGGCAAGATATTTTAAAACAGATGAAATTCCATAAAAAAACTGTCATATTGTAGAGGAGCATGAACGGTGAGATATAGTGCCTAAAGCTCATACAAGGTTTTCAACTAGGAGAACTAAAATATAGAGGATAATCCTTAGCCTGCACCTAGGAAGAGTGGCACATTCTCTTTAATAGCCATGTACCTAAAGCTCATAGAAGCTTTTCAACTTGGAAAAGTAAAATATAGATGATAATCCTTAGCCTGCACCTAGCACCTAGGAAGAGTAACACATTCTCCTTAATAGCAATGAAATTAATGGCCAGCACAGCTTCAACCAAGATTTCATAAACGCCAGTTTCGGCCATAGCGTAAAGCTGTTAGTTTGATGGTTTTAAGATTTAATTTTAGTTATTTTTTATTATGAAACAATTTAAAAAGTGCACAAATGAAAAAAAAGGATTAAGAAATCAAATTCAAATAACAAGACATGAAAGTTGCCGGGGACTCTTTAATAAAATTCTAGTAGAACTTTTTGTTGGTTTAAGAGTTTTAGATCACTTTAAAATTCTACAGGTTCCGATTGAAACCTTGGTACGAAATATGTTCAAGATGAACGCCACAACTTGTGCCTAGCCATGAGACGCCCCAAAAACTGCCTCAAGGCTTAACTTTTTATGGTCTAAGTGAGACTTTCACTTTTTTTATTGGAAGCATACGGCTTGAGTCTTTATAACTTGAGGCATTTGATGCAGACCTCTCAAACTAATACAATAGTTAAAAAAACTTTCTTTATATGATATTATGATACACCAAATATAGCTTATATTCAAGTTCCTATCTAAATTTTTTAAGCTTGCATTACGAGTTAAGAAATAAGGTTTTACTTATGCGAGTGGGAAGCAAAGTTCAAAAAAAAAAAAAAATTTATATTGATAATCAAAGCGATTTCCTCAATTGAATCAAAACATAGGTTTCAAATTGAAAATAGAAAAAGTCATAAAATTATGAAAAATTAGGAAACACATAAAGTGCATTCAAATAAAACCTTCACTCCTTAAAAAAACATCATAGGAAAGCACACAAAATTCAAAAAATTGAATAAAAGCCTGAGTTTGAAAAATATAAAAATTAGTAACCAATGATAGAACTAAATTCTAAATGAGATCTTTTTGCCCTAAAGATAATAATCATTATCATCATTCATAATCACTAGCAGGATCATCCAAGGAATCAAAGTGATATCTAATAGCTCCATCGTCCTCCCAATCGCTCATGTGAGTTATCCCATTCATCTTTTTCCTTATCCAACATTATTATTTTCTTCTTTCCTGCATCCAAATTATTATCATAATAAGCACACTCATAACCAAAAAATATTATATAACAATTTATTACATATTTCTTAATGCATATACTCTATCAACCATTCAAGGTATTTGAAGTTTTATGTCGTTTGTATTTGGCGGATCTTTAGGAATTTTCGCTAATTTCAGTTACATGAACAGCATAAATATAAATATCTTCATTCACATCTGATCAAAGAGCACTTCATTTTCTTCGTCATCTTGTTAAGC